TTGTGGGGAAGGAACCCTGGGACAGCTGAAAAGAAGGTAACGACTAAGAAATTTTTGCTACAGGTTTGCCATGTTTTCCTGGTATTTTATTCTTTTGGGGTGACAAAGCTTATTGGTGTTGCATGACTGCTTGAGTACAGATATGGTGTAGAGGGTGCTGACAATGCTGTGAGGAATCTAGGTGTATTTGGATTTCTCATATTCATGCTGATCACCATGCTGGTTTGGCAAGAATTCTTGCTCTACGACGTGATCTGTTGAAAGGAGTGTCTCATGAACCGTTGCTTGTCGTAGGCCCAGCACAACTAAAGAGATTTTAGATGCATATCAAAGACTTGAAGATCTAGACATGCATCCTTAATTGTAGGTACACTACAGAAGCTTCATGGAATGATTTTGAGTGCAATGTGAATCAAATAAGGATCCCTCAACTCAAGGAAGTTCGATAATAATGAGAATTTGAACCATAAAAATGTGGTCCATACTGAATCAAATCTGTTTGCTAAAGGAAGCTGTATGCAAAGTTTTTGGAAGGACCAGGAAGTCCAGTTGATTACAGCACTGCTTTTCCATTGTAAAGAGCTGAAGAAAGTGCTCAGTGAAGCAGGGCTGGAGACCTTGGTTAGTTTTCCTGTTGTGCACTGTCCCCAGGCATTTGGTATTGTTTTGAAGGCAGCAGAAAGATAAATAGTGTGGGAAAATTAATCCTGGTGGAAGATTGTATATCAGGTGACACCAGGCCTTGCCAGGAGTTAATTGAAGCATCCTGTGGAGCGCAGTATTACATGAGGCAAGCTATCTAGTTAATTTTGAGTTTTTAATTGTTAATGCACTGGTGCCATATTTTTTTTTTCACACTGCTGTTAATAATCGATGATTCTGTTACGATGTTGACTGTTACTTGATATGGACTTGCGCCTGCTAATCAAAATCCCAGGGCTTCATAAGAAACTTAGAAATGAACTTAGCTATGAGATTCTTATAAAACCAAAGACACATCAAAATGCTTCTGTGTAGAAGATTTAGGGTCAGGTGATGAATATTCAGCTTGAGTGGGTTACTTTCCTTAGAAATGACTGCTGATTGATTAAGTTCTGTTTATTATATTGCAGGCAACCTTTGAGGATGGTATGGTGGAGGAAGCAGTGGCAAAAAACCACAGCACAACAAGAAGCCATCGAAGTCGGTTCAGGTGCTATCGGATTGTTCTCACACACTTCAGCCAAAGATACCCTAAGATTCGTGGTTGATGAAGACACCCCGATAAAACGTGCATAGCTTTTGATTTGAGAGTATTAACCTAGTGGATTTGCCTGTGCTCCAAGTTTTCCCTATTTTAAATTGCTTTTTAAAGATGAGGTGCCAATTGATGAGTCAGATGATGTTATGATGCTGTAGGTGTAGCTTCTTAATAAAATAATTGATTGATTATAGTTATTTTTTATGATTCCGTTCTATCTACGATACTTGTTTTCAGGACCCTTATAAATTCATTGTAATATACAATGCTCTGGACAAGTGTATCTGTCGGCCACTGAAAGTTTTAGAATAGCACCGTTGGTATGAATGATATTAAAATGTAAGTCGCGATCAGTGGATGTACTGCGAATTGGAAAAATAGGTGAGTACCTAACGTGGCCCAACCTTTAGAATAGGAGCTCTCGACTGTTGGTCGAGTCAATCAAACCTTATGTGAGAAAATTAGTTCAATAATGACACCAACCTTTGAAGCTTTAGGGTTTATGATATGACAAAACTATAGGCTGTAAACCACCAAAATTCTTAGTGACATATTCCTATCCAAGGTTTAGTGAAGTGGCAAGTTTTCACCGTTTTATAAAATCTAGATTTTTACCCTTAAATTATCATAAGTCAAAATAGTATTTTTGACTTCTATACAGTTGCAAAACTGTTTGATTACACGCCATTAATCACCGTCACCATCAGCCATCACCACCACCACCTTTCAACACATCACGACCGAAACCTCAAAGTCACCACCACCCATCCACCACCAAACAACCGCCACAAACACCAAATCACTCACAAATTCAGCACAAACCCCCCAAAAACCATCACCAAATCATTCACAAATTCAGCCACAAACCCATCCAAACCCACCACAGACTCAGCTGCAAACCTATCCAAAAACAACCACAAACCAAGCCAAAAACCACCATAAACTGAGCCCAAACTTACTGAAAGCCCAGATTGGAAATGTGGGATTGTACCTGGGAGAGAGAAATGAAACTGAAATTGTTGAGAGAAGAAGAGGAAAAAAGGGCAATCCAAATCTGGTCACAGAGTGATAGCCTTACGGCAGCCAAATCCAACCGCCTCGGAGCCTATTCTGACAAGGGAGGAGAGGAAGAAGAAAGAGAGTAGGAGGAAGAAAAGAAGAAAGAGAGAAGAAAAGAGGAGAGAAGAAGAAGAGGAAGATGGGTAGAGAAAAAGAAGAGGCGGCAGTGGTAGGGTGGTTTTAGGTGGTTAACTGAATATGGGAGATAAAGCAGGGAGAGAGAGGGGTGCAACGGCTGGTGGTTTGAAATGGGTGGGTTCAATTACCACTTTACCCTATAGGCTTTAACTGTCATCAGAAATAATTTTATGTTAATTCAAGGATAGGAATTTGGAATATTCAAGGATAGGAATTTAGAATTTATAAAACAAGTTGGAAACTTGCCATTTAGCTAAACCTTGGGTGGGAACTGTTTCCCGTTTGCATGATTGCAACATCTTCTTCCACTGTTCCACATTAACATCATAATCTTATAAGCATTGGCAAGTGAAACTTCATGTACCAAATCGTAACCATACAAAGAGATTATGAGGTCTTTGCGGGCACAGACAATCCGTCAATGGAGGCATATCATATCAGAGTGGGTGAGTATATACATGCCTGATGCTGCCAATTAACTGATTAAGGCAGTATCATGTCAAGTTGCGTCAATGAAGGCCTGTCAATGGATACAGGAAAGCATACTTGTGTTTATGTGGGAGTAAAACCAAAAATTAAAAGAGGGATGTATTCTGAACTCTTCTTTTATCTTTATGTCTTCTCATAATTTTCTTTTATCAGTATTAGCGAGCGGTTGTATATACACTCTGCTCAGGATAAGCATACTTTGTACTTATGTGGGAGTAAAACCAAGGAAAAGAGAGATGAAAACACTCTAAGCATTCATTGCAATGGAATGGAACGCAATCAGTGAACAAATTCGAAAACAATCAAAGAGCTAACAGCAAAGAAACTCACTGTAAGAGCTGTTACAATGCAAGAGAGTAAAAAAGAGTCCTCTTTAGGTTCAACAAAAGAAGGTTTGAGGGAAAAAGTTGTATTGATATGCCAAATAAGAATCCTCAGCATGAAGTTCCCAAGCTTAACCCCATAGTACTGTTTCATATGTCCAGGTAATGAAATTTTTGTGCTGTGTGTTTTGGCTTCGTGGGGTTTGTTCAGTGTGTTTTTATGAAGGGTTTGATTTTGTTCTGAGTTTAACGTTCTGGTTGAAGATTTGAGTTTAAAGTTCCTAATTTTGTTTGTAACTTGGGTTTTACATCTGGCTTGGTTGTTACAGCTAGTTTATTATGGATTTTGGGAACTGGGTTTAAGTTAGTTTTCTGAGTTTATCTGGAAAAGAATGTCAATTTATAGTTTATGGGATTTTGTTCCATGGTGGTTTTGTGAGGTGGGTTTGGGTTCTTAAACTTCTATAAAACTAAAGTTTTCTTATTGGTTTGTAATTAAGTGTTGATTTTTTTTTTTTTTTAAATTACAGATTCTGGGGACTGGAATGGATACTCAGGACACTTCGCCTTCAGTCCTGCTCTTCGTTGAAGAGCAAAGATTTATTTTTAATGCTGGAGAGGTAAAATTTTCTACTCTACTATGGAGTTCTGGTCATCTCTTATTTGGATAATGTTGACTTGTCACTTCCAAGGTCTCTGTTCAGGAATAGGGATGGGCGCGGGTTGGGTCGGGGCCGGGGACCCCATGCCCCATCCTTGTTACCCCCTCCCATGCTGTCCCTAGCCCGTCCCTATGGGTGGGGATTTTTCTCATAACCATCCCCGGCCCGTGGGTACAAAATCTCTCCCATCCCCGTCCTGGCCTGGCCCGATGAACAAGGCTTTGCAGGGAATTTCTCCCTGTAGGGATTTTTGCCCCATATAAATCAAAACTTTCCGTAACAATAATATTTAATTAATTTAATTGTGAAAAACTAGCACGTTGATAGGTATTATATTTGACTATTTAATTTCAGTAGTTAATTAATTAAAAATGCATAATTTAAGGTAAGAAAGTATAAAGTCTAACAATTTCTTGTAAAATTTAAATTAAGATTAAAAAAGCAATACATAATTATTACCATAAACTGAATTAATTGTTATTAAGTTAGTAACACATTTTCTATATAGTATTAAATAGAGGAATTCAGATTCTACATTCTAATGTTTTATGTTGCTGAGGCATTACCGCATTGTAATGTTCTACTGAAATAGTCTCATCTCCTAAAAGTCATAAAATAAATACTTGAAAGAAAATTTCGTTGAAAATTGATATGAATAATTGAATATAGTGAATAATAACAATTTCTTGGCAAAAACTGGAACATGCTAATAGATTTTAAAGCAATAAAATATGAACATCATTCAGGTTGCATTGTAATAATACATCCTTTCAGGCTGCATTGTAATAATATAAACATCCTTTAAGCTGCATTTTAAATTTATTTTTGGGTTATGTCCCATGTATTATTATTTTGTGAAATTCACAAAGTAATAATACATATATTTAATTATTAGACTCTCTTATTTAAATTATTTTTCTATAAATTTAATACAAACATTAGAAAATATTATAAAAGTAAATATCATAAATTTAAATACATTACTTAAAATCATGATTTAAACTTTAACTTTATATACAATATCGTAAAGGAACAAAAAANATGGCAATCAATATCTTTCTCTTTCTCACCATTTCCCCCCTCCTTAAACCCTCAACGCAAACACCCTCTTCATTCTTCAAATGCCTTATATAACTCCGAACCTGCGCCTCCTTTTCTCTTCTTCTCCTTTCAGACTCTCCCTTCCTCTTCTCTCCAACCCCGCCACACCCCGCCACTCCCTCTTCACCGTCCTCTCCTACTCCGGCAGACGATACCGTTCCACCTCTGCCCCGCAACGAAACCTCAATCTTCAAAAAAGAAACAAGAGCACAAACGAAAGAGGAGTTGTTCCAATGGAAGAGAGTAAGAATGAACCCTCTTTTGGGTTTAACAAAAGAAGGGCTGAGGGAAAAGATGGTTCTGATAAGCCTAAGAAGAATCCTCAGCTTAAAGTTCGTAGACTAAACCCTACTAATACTATTTCGTATGTACAGGTAATGGATGTTTAGTTTGTTTATTTTGTGTTTTTTTGAACTGGGTTAGTTTGGTTTTTGCGTTTAACGTGTGTGGTTAAAGGTTGTGTTGAAGTTGTTCTTTTTTTTTCTTTTTTTTTTTTTTGGTTCTTGGCTTTTGTGGCTTTTAGTGAATTTCCTGGTTTCTGGTTCTTGTGGTTTGTTTGGTTATGGATTTTATGTACTTCATTCATGTTAGTTTTTGTATTTATTGGGCGTTATTGGAAAAGGAGGTGAATTTATAGTTGTTTTTGGCCTTTTGGCTTTAGTGGGGTTGTTCAATTGTGGTTTCGCTGGATGGGTTCAGATTATTGAGTTATTATCAGGAATAAAATTTAAGTTGTCTTATCGGTTTGTGATATGGTTTTGATTTTTTTCTTTTCTTTAATTATAGATTTTGGGAACTGGAATGGATACTCAGGACACTTCGCCTTCAGTCTTGCTCTTCTTCGACAAGCAAAGATTTATTTTTAATGCTGGAGAGGTGAAATTTGTTGCTGAATTTATTAATGGAATTCTAGTAATCTCTTATTTAGATAATGTGTCTTCAACGAGGAAGTTATTTTGAAACAATGGTCTATAACTGTTATATGTCTATAAGATTGCCACGTATATGAAGACCATTTTATGTGATTCTTCTAAATATGAATACCTATCAATTAATTGTTACTTAATGCACTACTTCTATTACAGGGATTGCAACGATTCTGTACAGAGCATAAGATTAAATTATCAAAGGTAGGAAAAATCTGTAAACAAACTTTTTGTTTCCCCTTTCTTCCCATTTTAATATATATTTCCAAGTTTGTTCACCTTCAATTTTTGAAAATTGTCTAGTGCAATTGATATGATGAATCTTTTTTCAGATAGATCACATTTTTCTTTCTCGTGTTTGCTCAGAGACGGCAGGTGGACTTCCAGGTTAGTATCTTGATAGAGAAATTATGATGTATCCATTTCTTTTTGGTAGCATAAACTTATTATTACAATAGCTGGGTAATGTTTTTAAGCATTACTATTATGAACAAGTATTAGGACTGCTCATGCAAAGAGATGATTGGCTGAGTTTTTACTTTACCTCACAGGTCTTCTTTTGACTTTGGCCAGTATTGGAGATGAAGGACTGTCTGTGAGTATCAGGCTGACTTCATGTATAACTGCCTTTCTTCTGGATACTTTTAACTAAGAGTTTTATTTGCTTGGTGGTTACTCACCATTATCTAAAATTTTCGTTTGTTTGCTTAAAGGTCAATGTATGGGGTCCTTCAGACCTCAAGTTTTTAGTTGATGCAATGAAGTCTTTCATTCCACATGCTGCTATGGTTCACACACGGAGCTTTGGGACATCTCCATCCTCTGATGCTACTCTAACTGATTTAACAAAGTTAACTGACCCCATTGTTCTTGTTGATAATGAGGTTGTTAAAATATCAGCCTTTCTTCTAAAAACAAATTGCTCCGAAGGATCAGCAGTAAAGCCTGGTGAGATGTCTGTGATATATGTTTGTGAATTGCCTGAACTCATGGGAAAATTTGATCCAAAAAAGGCTGTGGCTCTCTTAGGTCCGGATCCATCGCAATGTCTTAAGTCGATTGCTGTTGGTCAGTGGCAGAAACAAAATTTGGCATAGCCACAATGATAGTGAATTAGTTTGCATAAACTAACCAGTTTGATAATAAACACATAGACTCCCTCTCCAGTCTCTTTCTGAGATTTTTTTTTTTCTTTGGAAGAAAACTGTTTGATGGCCTATTTCATCCACGGACCACAGTTGCTAAGTAACAAGACACAACATCAGAAGTATTGTGCGCAAAAGCATTACAATAAAACTAAAAAAGAAAGAAAATTAGAATTAAACCTATTCAAGTTATATTCTCTGATACTTTGATATACAGAAGTATTCTAGGTAACATATATGGTGTTGATAATTCATAATCCAATATTGTGGTATAAGGTATCTGCTCAAAGAGTTTGAGAACTTTGTTCACTGCTTACACAATCTTCTTCACTTTTGTCATCTCTCTATGCTGTTCAGGACACTACTGGATGCATGTCATATAACATTCATAAATGGGCTTGAAGAGGACTGCTTTAAACCACAAACGCCATCCCAAAAATTGTTTGTTTGATCGACTGGATGTCTTATTGCAATTTATGCTGTGGTTTGGTGGGTAAGACTGAATCTATAGTCTTCCACATTATCCATGTTGAAATGTTAATGGTCTTGATGTTTTTGTGCTGAATCATTGTACATATTGTGGATTCCATAATCTTCACACGGTGAAATCTCTAACAATATATTCCAGGTGCGGTATCACCATATTGAACATCTTCATGACAACATTGGTACAAGAAAATTCTCACCCATCTTAGTATTAGATTTGAAACAGTTGTTAGTTATTAATACATAATACACAAAATTTGTCATTGAGACACCTTGAAGGTGAAACTTTTTTAATTTCCATTCTGTCCTTCCATTCAGGCAGTTGCTGGATGACAACCTGCAGCAATATGAAAAACCTTCATCCAATTTCCGTACAATAGCAGTAATTGAAAACCATGACAAAGTGGAAGAAGAAAGATTACGACACGCCCTGTAGATTCAGGGGTTCCAACAGTGGTTTGGAAGCCAATCTCCATTTTTTGGTTGCTGCATAGAACCCATGAAACACAGCATACTACCTCTTTGAAACAATTATTTTCACCTCATACCAATATATTAGATTATGAAATATTTCCTTAAAATTATTCTTACCCTCTTCAGCTTTCCTTCTCTTTGTCAGTTCGAGGGCTTGCAGCTCCTTTCCTTGAATAACCTTCAACAGTCAAAGATTCCATCAGATCAGATATATAAATCTTTACCCCTGCTAACAACAATTTTAGAGCCCTGGAAATGGCCAAAAGCAAATCATCAGTAAATCAAGTGCATAAAGCTTCAGAACAGTAAAATTCACCTCAACCATACAAGTAGCACAGGTTCCTCCTCCTCCACAATCAGCAGAGGTCTAGCCTGGGAAAACGCACAATAATGTAGCTATATCATGTAAATTTCGATGAAACAATGAAAAAACATATTACATTAATAAGAGACAGAAAACTACATTAGGTCCATACAATTCAATATTACCATCGCATATATTCCTAAGTTTCTGCCCTCCACATGCTGTTCTAAAATGCTATGGAGTTCCATCCGGGAGTAACACGACTAAAACAATCCGACGACGTGCCATTAAATTGCTAATATTTTTTACTACACATACAATTCAGTACATAATACAAACATGTAAACTACATGAACAAATGCAAAATTGACTACTGGAGGTTCTCTTTAGCATTTGACTGGGAGTCATTATCAGGATGGTTGCAGTGGCTCTGATATTGCCTCTAGAGAAGCTGAAATGTCTAGAGTATTAGGCCTTTGCAAGTGTGGAAGTGTAGTGGAAGTTGAAAGGCACAGAACGAGAAGGCAATCTGAAGAATTAGTTGAAGACTTCCCATTTGTGATTATTTGAAGACGAAAATGTCGCTATAGAAATTAAATTATTAGGATAGTTTTAGTAGCTGCTGGATTTGCATGAGTGGTGGGGCTTTTATTTTATACTTCTGAAATGTAGCGCGGCTACGGTTTATCCTGGGTGGATTTCAGGCCCAAAAAGGGCAAATCATGGCGGGATTTCGGCCCATGAAATATGAATATGGACGCTAGACGGAGGGCTTGAACTGAGACCTGTGGTTAATAGCCACACGCCAACCCACTGAGCTACTCCAGCACCTTGAGGTGCCGAAACTCCATTATTTTCTCATATTTAATTAGTAAAGCTAATTAATTAGGGTTTATGATTTTATCCATAATTAGTTTAAAAAATCTCAATTATAAGATACTTTTCTACATTTATTTGTGAAAGGTTTGTTACAATATAGTGTTCTCTATATTAAAGGATCTAATCTAGTATAGTCCAAGTTTGAGCTTTTACAATATTAAATCAATTTTGATAACATCTTAAACATTAATCTAACTTTCAAAACCAAATTACCGATGCTCAAATACACATTAGTTAACCTCTTTTTGGTCGTATGATAAATTCTTTAGCCATGAGATTAGTTATACCTAAGAGGTTTTATGTAAAATCCCAAGAGATTACCTATCACATTATGCAATTATCTGTGATTTTGAATTGTAGTATTCCGTGGCCCTAAGAATTTATAGACTCCATGTGGGTTGGAAACTGAATTAAACTAAAAAAAAATACCACACTAGTTCTATGGCATTTCATTTACTCATTTACAAGGCCATCATTGTTATCAATTTCTTAAATCAAACTTGTCTTAATCATACAACTAACATTATATATTAAAACCATCATTAGGTGATAGTGGAAAAGAGAAAGGGTCCACTATCGGTTTTGAGTTTGAGTATCTAAAAACTAATAGGATCTTATGAGGGAGATTTATCTGGTCGTTCACTTTAGGATCGTGGATCAATTAAAGTGTATAAACTGACATGACACTCACTCACGAAGAAAAAAAAAAAAAAATTATATATGTAAACTAATATTCAACCAATAGATATTACTCTTTATTAAGACATCATTATTTTATAATATTAGACTGTAAATGAATTTAAAATTAACCTACACACACAAACTGTACACACACACACACACCACACACACACAATTATATCAACCAAAACATATCCACAGAGTAAAAAAAATGAAACATGTTTCCGAGACACTGACACACAGGAAGAATATAGAAAATATTTCATGATAAGTAGGAAGCACATTTAATCATAAATTACTCCAAATGAAATCATTGATGGTTCGAAATCATGGCCAAAGTTCCTGTCTATCTCTGCAATTAAAAACAACCAAAATTGTTGCTTATTCCAAACAATAATATGAATGGCCAAGTTTTGTCCTGTTCTCGACCAAAGTTGCTGCTCATCCATTTAGGCCAATCAAAGGAAGCGAACTCAATCCTTTCTGCTGATCAATTCTTCAGGAAGAAAAACTGTTTGATGGTGGATTTGTTTGGCGGTGTCATATACTGTTGCTAAGAAACAAAGACAACATTGGAGCAAAACTACTCTCCCTAAGTAAATGTCTGGGGGTTTAATCCACAGCTTTGAAGTAAACAAAAACACAACTCTAAAGTAAATATAATTTCTGCTCTTTTGGTTGCTTGCATAACTATCTATCAGTACTCTTCCATACCGCAAAACATTTCAATTAAAGAAAGAAAATTAGCTTTCTTGCTGAAAATGAGTAAAGAAACTGTGTCTTCATGAGAAAAAAAAATCACTTAATATTCAAACCAGATAATTGGTTTAAGAAAAACTAATCATATTAGCAACTATGATTCCAACGTTCAAGAACTACTTGCCTTGTTTCAAATTTCCACCTATTGTGCAATCATCGCGGCTCAAACAAAACTTAGTTCTACACTTAAAAAATGGTGTTGAAATGGCAAATATTTTTTTTTTCTTTTTTTTGGTAACCGAGGTGTCCAGCCCAGCTTGTGTGTACCTCAACTAATCCTCGGAATCTACTTAACACTCTATATGATAAGCCACAATGTTATTGTGATAGGTCTATTGAACATCCTACAAACCAAAAGGACCAAGTAAACCATAATGTTATTGTGATAGACAATTATCTTACGATATGCGATACATATCCGACGATACAATTCGATATGGGTCGCTAACGATACGTCTCAAAGAGTGTATCCTAAACATTTTGATACGTTGATATGTATCCTACGATACGATACGTATTGGTTCATATCCTTAAAAATATTGATATAAATTAATACGTCTTTATTAATTTGGGTCAAAGGTAAAAAAAAAAAAAAAAAAAAGACAAATTTTGGGTCGAATTCGGGCCACACAGCTCAATTCACTAAAACCCACCCAAATATATCCATTTTGCATGGAGAAATAAAGAGGAAGATCTGTTGCCCATTTTGTATGATAATAATAACACAAGTGGAGATATAAATATTAATATTGATCTTGGAAATGATATGAATGGTTGAGAGGAAATAATATAGATTCTTAATTTTGTGATTAATTTTGATTATCTAATATCATAATTTAAAGACAATAATATCACAAAATTCATTAATTAATCTTGGGGATGATATTAATTTTTATTATTTTATTTTATTTTTTAAAAAAAGGCATCCTACGATACAATATAATACGATACACGATTCAAAAAATTAAGTTTTTGATATACGATACAATACACAATTTGACAACCATCTATTGAACATTATACAAGCCCAAATGACCAAGTAAACCACAATGTTATTGGGTAGGTGGTCCTAAGATTTAAACCAAAAAACTCAAGGGAGGAAACAAACCTTCTTAATCACTAAGTCAACCCCTTGGGGTTGTAGGGATTTCTTTTTCTTCCTGCGTAAGACAGTTTAAATTAGCTATAAGAGAAAAAAATAACTAAGCATGAGGTATCTTTTAGTGGAGCAAATGAAACTTGGTTCTCCCAAGCTTGTGTCATACACAACCTTTTGATTGTTATTGCTTCCCAGAAAATTTCATGGCATCCTCAACTTGCTTCTGCGTATCAAAACAAACCTCTATGAGCCATCGGAGTTTCTTGCAGAACAAACAGCAAAGCTCCCAGGCAAAAGCTGCATTAATAAATACCACAATAAGAGAAAGCAAATCTCAAATACTTGACACATTTTAAAGTTCACAAATGTTTTTCAATGGTCTAAAACTCTGTTCCCACCATTACAAAACTGTCAAGCTTCCAAATGACCTCCTCTCCTGAAAAGTATTGATAAAACACAGCTTAGGACGAAAGCAAAATCGGACCTCACACAAGTATAAATACTAGCATCAGCTGAAACATGATAAGTAACGAAATACTAACATCAAATAAAGGACTGCTGCTCATCCATTTAGGCCAATAAAAGTAGCCAAGCTGAAGCTAAACTCTGTTCTGTAGCAGGTGCAATATGTTCAAAATTATAGTTAGCAGTCCAGTTTGGGAAAACAGATATACGTAAATGAAAAGGTAAAGATATAAGCATGAGGAAAGCTAACCAAACAAAAACAGACACTCTTTCACTTGTTTCATCAACAATATTTACATTTTGTTTGAAGAGCTTGAATGAACGTTCTCCCAATGACTGATATTATAAGTTGGTCCTGGATCCATCGCAATGTCTTAAGTCGATTGCTGTTGGTCAGTGGCAGAAACAAAATTTGGTATAGCCACAATGAATAGTGAATTAGTTTTGCATAACTAACCAGTTTGATAATAAACACAGATTCCCTCTCCCAGCCTCTTTCTGAGATTTTTATTTTCTTTTGGAAGAAAACTGTTTGATGGCCTATTTCATCCACGGACCACAGTTGCTAAGTAACAAAGACACAACATCAGAAGTATTGTGCGCAAAAGCATTACAATAAAACTAAAAAAGAAAGAAAATTAGAATTAAACCTATTCAAGTTATATTCTCTGATACTTTGATATTACAGAAGTATTCTAGGTAACATATATGGTGTTGATAATTCATAATCCAATATTGTGGTATAATGGTATCTGCTCAAAGAGTTTGAGAACTTTGTTCACTGCTTACACCAATCTTCTTCACTTTTGTCATCTCTCTATTGCTGTTCAGGACACTACTGGATGCATGTCATATAACATTCATAAATGGACTTGAAGAGGACTGCTTTAAACCACAAACGCCAATTCCCAAAAATTGTTTGTTTGATCGACTGGATGTCTTATTGCAATTTATGCTGTGGTTTGGTGGGTAAGACTGAATCTATAGTCTTCCACATTATCCATGTTGAAATGTTAATGGTCTTGATGTTTTTGTGCTGAATCATTGTACATATTGTGGATTCCATAATCTTCACACGGTGAAAGTCTCTAACAATATACTTTCCAGGTGCGGTATCACCATTATTGAACATCTTCATGACAACATTGGTACAAGAAAAGTTCTCACCATCTTAGTATTAGATTTGAAACAGTTGTTATCGTTTATAATACATAATACACAAAATTTGTCATTGAGACACCTCTGAAGGTGAAACTTTTTTATATTTCCATTCATGTCCTTTCCATTCAGGCAGTTGCTGGATGACAACCTGCAGCAAATATGAAAAACCTTCATCCAATTTCCGTACAATAGCAGTAATTGAAAACCATGACAAAGTGGAAGAAGAAAGATTACAGACCAGCCCTGTAGATTCAGGGGTTCCAACAGTGGTTTGGCAAGCCAATCTCCAATTTTTTGGTTGCTGCATAGAACCCATGAACACCAGCATTACTACCTCTTTGAAACAATTATTTTCACCTCATTACCAATTATATTAGATTATGAAATATTTCCTTAAAATTATTCTTACCCTCTTCAGCTTTTCCTTCTCTTTGTCAGTTCGAGGGCTTAGCAGCTCCTTTCCTTGAATAACCTTCCAACAGATCAAAGATTCATCAGATCAGATAATATAAATCTTAACCCCTGCTAACAACAATTTTAGAGCCCTGGAAATGGCCAAAAGCAAATCATCAGTAAAAATCAAGTGCATAAAAGCTTCAGAACAGTAAAATTCACCTCAACCATACAAGTAGCACAGGTTCCTCCTCCTCCACAATTCAGCAGAGGTCTAGCCTGGGAAAACAAGCACATAAATGTAGCTATATCATGTAAATTTCAATGAAAACAATGAAGAAAACATATTTACATTAATAAGAGACAGAAACTTACATATGGTCCATACAATTCAATATTACCATCCAGCATTATATTCCTAAGTTTCTGCCCTCCACATGCTGTTCTAAAATGCATATCTGGAGTTCCATCCGGGAGTAACACTGACTAAAACAATCCGACAACGTGCCATTAAATTGCTAATAATTCTTTTACTACACATACAATTCAGTACATAATACAAATCATGTAAACTTACATGAACAAATGCAAAATTGACTACTGGAGGTTCTTCTTTAGCATTTGACTGGGAGTCATTATCAGGAATGGTTGCAGTGGCTCTGATATTGCCTCTAGAGAAGCTGAAATGTCTAGAGTATTTAAGGCCTTTGCAAGTGTTGGAAGTGTAGTGGAAGTTGAAAGGCACAGAACGAGAAGGCAATCTGAAAGAATTAAGTTGAAGACTTCCCATTTGTGATTATTTGAAGACGAAAATGTCCGCTATAAGAACTTTAAATTATTAGGATAGTTTTAGTAGCTGCTGGATATTTGCATGAGTGGTGGCGGCTTTTATTTATCTTATCTGAAATGTAGCGCGGCTACGGTTTATCCTGGGTTGGATTTCAGGCCCAAAAAGGGCAAATCATGGGCTGGATTTCGGCCCATGAAAATATGAATATGGACGCTAGACGGAGGGCTTGAACCTGAGACCTTGTGGTTAACAGCCACACGCTCTAACCCATTGAGCTACTCCAGCACCTTGAGGTGCCGAAACTCCATTATTTTCTCATATTTTATATTAGTAAAGCTTAATTAATTAGGGTTTATGATTTTATCCATAATTAGTTTAAAAAATCTCAATTATAAGATACTTTTCTACATTTATTTGTGAAAGGTTTTGTTACAATATAGTGTTCTCTATATTAAAGGATCTTAATCTAGTATAGTCCAAGTTTGAGCTTTTACAATTATTAAATCAATTTTGATAATCATCTTAAACATTAATCTAACTTTCAAAACCAAATTACCGATGCTCAAATACCACATTAGTTAACCTCTCATTTTTTGGTCGTATGATAAATTCTTTAGCCATTGAGATTAGTTATACCTAAGAGGTTTTATGTATAAATCCCAAGAGATTTACCTATCACATTTTATGCAATTATCTTGATCGATTGAACTTGTAGGATATTCCGTGGCCCTAAGAATTTAATAGACTCCAATGTGGGTTGGATAACTGAATATAACTATAAAAAAAATACCACACTAGTTCTATGGCATTTGTCATTTACTCATTTACAAGAGCCATCATTTATGTTATCAATTTCTTAAATCAAACTTGTCTTAATCATACAACTAACATTATATATATAAAACCATCATTAGGTGATTAGATGGTAAAAGAGTAAAGAGGTCCACTATCGGTTCTTGAGTTTGAGTCATCTAAAACACTAATAGAGATCTTTATTGAGGAGATTTATCTGGTCGTTCACTTTAGGATCTTGTGGATCAATTAAAGTGTGTATAAACTGACATGACACCTCACTCACGGAAGAAAAAAAAAAAAAACATTATATATGTAAACTACATATTCAACCTAATATGATATTACTCTTTTATTAAGACATCATTTATTTATATAATATTAAGACTGTAAATGAATTTAAAATTAACCTATCACACACAAACTGTACACACACACACACACACACACACACAATATATATATTTAAAATTAATTAATAACATATAATATACAAAGAAAGGAAACCCAATAGCAATCAATATCTTTCTCTTTCTCACCATTTCCCCCCTCCTTAAACCCTCAACACAAACACCCTCTTCATTCTTCAAATGCCTTATATAACTCCGAACCTCCGCCTCCTTTTCTCTTCTTCTCCTCTCAGACTCTCTCTTCCTCTTCTCTCCAACCCCGCTACACCCCGCCACTCCCTCTTCNTTTGGTTATATCAGTGCACGATGTAGTCCTTTGACCTGAGACATTGTAGTCAGATCCGATATGGATGTGTATGGTTCATACGGTGTATAAGTACGAGACTAATCATGTTTCATACAATAAAGCTTATTTGGTCATGCGTTGTTCATATGCAGAAACGAACGATGGTCAAGAGGGGATCCATTGACTCGGAAATATAGGATCGGGAGTACTGCTGACTCCATCCGGATTCGAGTTCCTAGATGAACATGGATAAATGTTAGAAAACAGAATCTCTGGCCAGAGTCTATTATTAATCATACAAAAGCAAGTTTGTGATGACGAGTTCCGGACATATTGATCGATGATTCAGTAGAAGATCAAGTTTAGGATTTTGACGTTCCATGAATCCATACTCGATTAGGATATCTCAATGGAGGGACTTTACCTGCATGGTACGTATGATCTGAAATGGGTTCGATGAAGTATTTCTTCATCGTGGTTTAGGGACTATGGCACATTGCTAGATGTTTACCATAGTCGTTGGGCCTCCGGACAGATTTTCGGATTCATCCAGAACCGGCTCAAGGCTAATCCACGGTGGACCTACATGGTCACACCAATAGCCTTGAGAAGTTAGAGAAGGATGAGAGAGAGAAATGATTATCTGAAGAGGGCTAGCACCTTCCGAGGGTAATAATGGGATTTCTATAGTAATAGTTACATAGAAAACTATTTGTGACATTTTCAGGGTTAAAATGATCAAGCAATAATTAATTATATTTAATTATTAAATCTTAAAGTGTTAAGATTAAATCTCAAAGTGTTAAGATTAATGAGATGAACAAAAACAACATTTTAATAGTTAAAGGGTAAAAGGGTAAATTTATGGGTTGTTAATGTAAACTAAACAGCCCTTGAATAATATTGATTATTCAAAGGGTAACATAATAAATTCGTGGGGTCCCTTTATACAATAAGATTTTATTGTGCTTGGAAATGAAAAATAAATAATTACAAAATTGCCCAAGTATATATAAATGCAAAAGGTTGCATTTTTATTCATAACACACATTGTTCACTCAAAGCAAAACTAAAACTCTCTCTAAAAGCCACGACCACTCTCTAAACCTGTCAAGGTGGTGTTAAAGTGTGGAGGTCTCATCTTTTTGGGGCTAATCTTCATCAATCTAAAGCAAAGGAGAATGTATAATCTCATTTCCATGCTTTGTTTAAAAACCGGTTTTTGAATCCATGCTTTCATGCTTTTATTCTCCATCTCCACCACTCTTCATGCATGCTGATTCTTACACCATCCACCACCAAACAACCACCACAACCCACCACCAAATCACTCATAAATTCAGCCACAAACCCCCCAAAAACCATCACCAAATCATTCACAAATTCAGCCACAAACCCATCCAAAACCCACCACAGACTCAGCTGCAAACCTATCCAAAAACAACCACAAACCGAGCCACAAAACCACCACAAACTCAGCCACAAACTTACCTGAAAGCCCCGATTGGAAACGTGGGATTGTACCTGGGAGAGAGAAATGAAACTGAAATTTTGTTGAGAGAAGAAGAAGGAAAAAGGGCAATCCAAATCTGGTCACAGAGTGATAGCCTTATAGCGGCCAAATCCAACCGCCGTAAAACCAAAGGAAAAGAGAGATGAAAACACTCTACACATTCATTGCAATGGAATGGAATGCAATCAGTGAACAAATTCGAAAACAATCAAAGAGCTAACAGCAAAGAAATTCACTGTCAGAGCTGTTACAATGCAAGAGAGTAAAAATGAGTCCTCTTTTAGGTTCAACAAAAGAAGGTTTGAGGGAAAAAGTTGTATTGATATGCCAAATAAGAATCCTCAGCATAAAGTTCCCAAGCTTAACCCAACTACTACTGTTTCATATGTCCAGGTAATGAAATTTTTTGTGCTGTGTGTTTTTGGCTTTGTGGGGTTTGTTCAGTTGTGTTTCTATGAACTGGGTTTGATTTTCTTTTTGAGTTTAACGTTTTTGGTTGAAGATTTGAGTTTAAAGTTCCTAATTTTGTTTGTAACTTTGGTTTAGTACATTCTGGCTTTTGGTTGTTACAGCTAGTTTATTATGGATTTTTCGGAATTGGGTTTAAGCTAGTTTTTTGAGTTTATCTGGAAAAGGAGGTCAATTTATAGTTTATGGGATTTTGTTCAATTGTGGTTTTATGAGGTGGGTTTGGGTTCTTAAATTTTTATAAAACTAAAGTTCTGGAAAAGGCCAGATCTGGCCGTCCTAGATCCACCGTGGATTTGGTCAAAAAAGGCCATATCAATGCACGACCAGCAAGATCCAATCGGTCATGCACTGATACGGTGACTCCGGCCACCCTTCGACGGTGGTGGCCTTCTGTCCGTATTTAATGAGTGGGTTGGAGGTGTTTTTGTTAACTTTGAATATTTTATTATAGGGGTGTTTAGTAAATAAACAAACATAGGGGATATTTTTGTTAATTTTCAAATTCTACATCCTAATACCCACTCAATTTAACTTGTTTCAAAATATTATTCTAAAAACTATTAGAATAATGAACCAAACCACCGTAAATTTTTATAAAACTAAAGTTTTCTTATTGGTTTGTAATTTAAGTGTTGATTTTTTTATTTTATTTTAAATTACAGATTCTGGGGACTGGAATGGATACTCAGGACACTTCGCCTTCAGTCCTACTCTTCGTTGACGAGCAAAGATTTATTTTTAATGCTGGAGAGGTAAAATTTTCTACTCAACTATGGAGTTCCTGTCATCTTTTATTTGGATAATGTTGACTTGTCACTTCCAAGGTCCCTGTTCCGAAAGTTATTTTGAAGAGTGAATGACAATTTTCCAATCCAATGTTTGCCACAATTACATTTTCACACCCATAAACTTAGAGAAAAACAATTTCCCACCCATCGTCAATCTCCGTCGATGGAATATGTTACCTGACAGGGGGTAAAGTTACGAAAAGGCTATAATACCCTTTATTATTTGACTTCATAATTTTTAACAAGATTAAATTACAATTTCCACCCAAACTTTATTTAATGTAATTTTCACCCCTAGTGTGGTTTATATTAATTTTAACAAGGTTAAATTACAATTTCCACCCAAACTTTATTTAATGTAATTTTCACCCCTAACACCCATCAAGTGTGGTACTTAAACCCAGGGACTCTTCCACCTATCAGGCCAATCTTTTGGGCTGGGTTCTATTTGGGCTTGAGTTCTAACAGTAGCTGCTCTGTTTTTCCATGGTCATGAGTTCGTGCTCTGTTTTTCATTTGTCATGATCCTTTTATTTGTTCAAGCGTGATGCAAGAGGCTTGTATGAATAGCTTGAGAATATTTCTATAATTGTTAGTTTTAAATTTGTGCTTGCTACCCCTTTACACAGGTTGATAGCCTATGATTGCCTGGGTTTTGGTTTTCTACTCTGAACAAACTTGTTGTTTGTACTTCTTTTAAGATAAACTGCTTGTTTGTACTTTAAAGGTCAGCTTTCATTTTCTCACTTACACTAATAGAGATGCAAAGCTTAGAAAGGTCATGAAAAGGGTGTTGATATGATCCAGAATGGACATGCTTAGTGATCCAGGGATTAAGAGGACTCAGTTGTGGGCTTAAGCGCACCTGCTGCTACTTGGAAGCAGGGGTGGTGTTTTGTCCATAGCCTCTATCTTAACATTAAAGAACTTGTTGATGCTCATTTTAAGCACCAACGAATTCTCACGTGCGTAACGTTGATTGGCTGTTAAATACACGTGAAAATGGAATATATAGAGCGAAAATAAATGCAAATGGAGTTTTTTAAGTGGTTCGGATGCTAAGGTAGCATGTCCTACGTCCACTGATTTATATTGATATTAGTGTGGGTCAAGTCGCAACTGCGGACTGACTTACAAAAGAGTTGGAAAAGTAAAATGTCTTTACAGGAGAGAGAGATTTTTCTCTCTGTATGAAAATGGCCGAATCCCCTTAATGAAGGGGTCTTCTTCATTTTATATCAAACTGAAACGTGTAATCATCATTAAATCCATGGTTTGGNTTATATAATTTCATAAAATATATATAATCTTAATGAAATATTGTTTTGTAGTTTTATAAATATTTAATTGACAGATATTATTATAATTTTTAAAAAATAATATATATACTTTCAATTTTTTTTAGAAACATATGTACTTTAAAAGTGAAACCTCTATTGTAATTATAGAAATTGAAGATAGGGGTTTAAATGGTTAATTTTCAAGTTAGTGAGATAATTATTATGTGTTTGTAATTTAGGACCGTAAGTAATATTGACCGTATAATAGATCAATAATGCTACGGACACCGGAATTTTTGCACCAAAATATTGTACCGGCCTACGTGTAACACGCCTCTGATTTTTTTAACAATTTTTTTCGAGTGAACAGCCGTCCATCAAATTTGGACGGCCGTTCACTAACATGGACGCCCGTCCATATTATATGGACGTGGGTCCATATACCAGGGACGAGCGTCCCCATTTAATGGACGCCCGTCCATAAGTAAAATAAAATAAATTTTTTTTATAAAAATTAGGGACGGTCGTTCATCCGTTATGGACGGCCGTCCCTTAATTTTGGACGGGCGTCCACAAATAAGGGACGCCCATCCAAACCAAAATATGAAAAAAAAAAAAAATTAGGGACGATCGTCCATAAATTTTGGACAGCTGTCCCTTACGTTTGGGACGGGCATCCATTCCGAACAGGGACGGGCATCCATTCCTATTGGACGCCCGTCCATAATTTAAAAAAAAAAAACACCTTCTTCGCTCTTTTCTTCTTCTTCTTCTTCGCTCCACTCCATCCCTGTAACACCTCAAATCCATTTTGCAGCAATCCTAATCCTCCCACTGAATTACAGCATAAACAAAACAAAAATAACCTTTAATCAGAATCAGAAGAAATAATATCCCAAAATTAAATAATGAAGTTAGAAGCAAACCATCCTTAGGATTCGTTCCATTGGTAAGTTCCCCACTAAGAGTATAAACTTTCATTGCATTAATGAGAGGAGGAAGAGTGGAGTCATCATCAGCCTGGAGGGAAATTTGGTTGCTAGCGGAAGCAATTCTCAAAATGGGATTATTTTGTTTTGTACTCAGATTAGAGAAGGAGAATACATTTTCTTGTATGGAGGAGATGATCTAGAATGGATACGTAAATTCACAAACGCAGCACGCACAGTTGCAACTGCTGCACGCATCCCTTTGGAGATGGTGTATGTGGGGAAGAGCACCAAGAGGGAACAAGTGCGACGAATCATGGCAAGCATCCAAATTGAAAAGCTAAGTCAGGCGTGGCCAGACCTCACCATGGTATGGTTCTTCTGGACACGTCTCGAGAGCATGCTATTCTCCAAGACTCAACTGGGCAGAGCTGATGACCACGACCCCATGATGCAAGAAATCAAGAAACTGCTAAGCTATGACAAAGACGGCGGATGGGTTGTGCTAAGCAAAGGTTCCCAGGTAGTAGTGAAGAAGAAGAAGAAGAAAAGAGCGAAGGTGTTTTTTTTTTTTTTTTTAAAGTATGGACGGGCGTCCATTAGGAATGGACGCTCGTCCAAACTTAAGGGACAGCCGTCCAAAATTTATGGACGGCCATCCCTAATTTTTTATTTTATTTTCATATTTTGGTTTGGACGGGTGTCCCTTATTTGCGGACGCCCGTCCAAAATTAAGGGATGGCCGTCCATAACGGATGAACGGCCGTCCCTAGTTTTTATAAAAAAAAATTATTTCATTTTACTTATGGACGGGCGTCCATTAAATGTGGATGCCTGTCCCTAGTATATGGACCCCCGTCCATATAATATGGACGGACGTCCATGTGAGTGAACGACCGTCCAAATTTGATGGACGGCCGTTCACTCGAAAAAAATTGTTAAAAACATAAGAGGCGTGATACACGTAAGCCAGTATAATATTTCGGTGTAAAAATCCCGATGTCCGTAGCATTATTGATAATAGATATGATCCGAGGATGCCCATTTTGCTGTTAAAACTAACGTCTAAATTTAACGATGGTGGGAAAATGGTTTTTTCAAAGTTTATGGGTGGGCAATTACGGTAAACTTTGGGTGGGAAAATGTCGTGCTCTCTTGTTTTGAACAGTGGTATATAACTGTTATGTCTATAAAATTGACAGGGAGATGAGATGAAGATCATTGTTTGTGATTCTTCTAACTATGAACACCTATCAATTTTCTGTTACTTAATGCACTACTTCTATTGCAGGGATTGCAACGATTCTGTACCGGGCATAAGATTATATTACCAAACGTAGGAATATCCGTAAACATTCATTTTCTTTCCCTTTCTTCCTATGTCAATACATATTTCCAAAGTTTGTTCTTCAGTTTTTGAATATTGTTTAATGCAATAGTGACTGATAATATTGTGGATCATTCTTCAGGTAGATCACATATTTCTTTCTCGTGTCTGCTCCGAGACAGCAGGGGGACTTCCAGGTTAGTGTCTTGATAGAGAAACCATGATGTATTCATAATTTTTTTTCTTTTTTCTGCATAAACTTTTTTTTTTTTTATTGCTGAGTAATGTTTTTAAGCATTAGTATCATGAACAAATATTAGGACTGCTCATACAAAGAGAGGGTTGCTGAATTCTTATTTTACCTCACAGGTCTTCTTTTCACTTTGGCCGATTTTGGAGGGCTGTCTGTGAGTAACAACTTGACCTCATGTATTTTATTTGTTTAAAAGGTCAATATTTCAAATAGTCAATTTTAACTAAGATTTTGATTTGCTTGGTGGTAACTCATCATCATCTAAAATTTTCATTTGTTTGCATAAAGGTAAATGTATGGGGTCCTTCAGACCTCAAGTATTTAGTTGATGCAATGAAGTCTTTCATTCGACGTGATGCTATGGTTCACGCACGGAGCTTTGGGACATCTCCATCCTCTGATGCTACTCTAACTGATTTAACAAAGTTAACCGACCCCCTTGTTCTTGTCAATAATGAGGTTGTTAAAATATCAGCCATTCTCCTAAAACCAAATTTCTCTGGAGGATCAGCAGTAAAGCCTGGAGAGTTGTCTGTTATATATGTTTGTGAATTGCCTGAACTCATGGGAAAATTTGATCCTGACAAAGCTAGGGCTCTAGGCTTGAGTTCTGGGCCAAAATACGATGATCTGAAATCTGGGAAGTCAGTGCAGTCAGATTGTGGCACCATGGTGAATTTCAAAGTTAAATAATGAAAGGGAAAATTATGTTGCTCTAATAAACTTTTGGTGTATCTGAAATATGCCACTTGATTTATGTTTTAAACCATTGTTTCATTTCATTTGTTTTAGGTTCATCCAAGTGATGTAATGGGCCCGTCTGTTCCTGGTCCCATTGTGCTACTCGTCGACTGCCCAACAGAAGCCCACGTATTGGAGTTGTTGTCTGTGGAATCTCTCAGTAGTTACTATGCAGATTGCTCATCAAAATGTGCCAAGACTGTGAATTGTATCATTCATTTAAGTCCTACTTCTGTCACAGGCACCCCTAATTACCAGATATGCATGAAGAGGTTTGGTTCAGCCCAACATATTATGGCTGGACATGAAATGTGAGTCCTTTTTCTTGACATTGTTTCTTCTATAAAAGCGATACTGGTGCCTGCCCTTTTCTGATTGATTATTCCTCCTGACTATTCATGCTGTTTGTAGGAAGAATGCAGAGGTTCCAATTCTAAAATCCAATGCAAGATTATCAGCACGACTTAATTATCTGTGTCCACAATTATTTCCAGCTGCAGAGTTCTGCTCTCTTCAGCATCTTAATAATTCCGCACCAGATTATAGTGCTAGCGAGGTTTTCTCTAACGTCATTAAACAGTATTTTCGATAGTTAGAAGTTGCTAGTTACAGTTTTAAATATTTGGGGTAACTGAGTGGTTTTCCCTTTTTTTTTTTCCTTATATTTTATTTTATACATATATTAGGGTCCTGTTGCAAGGCTTTCTGAAAGTGTTTCTGCTAAAAATCTACTGAAGGTATGAAATGTTTTTTATTTAGTTTAGCTGAGAAATTCAGTGACTGAGTTTTAATCCCTCTTAACACTATGCTTTCATACTTGATTTAGTGCTTTGTTTTATTAAGAGGAAACCTGAACAGTGTTTCATACTTGATCAGTTCACTCTGCTTCCTCATGCTCATCTTGGACTTGATAGAACAGAGATCCCATGTCTGGTGGCTCTCTCAGAATTAATGGATGAGTTACATTCGGAAATTCCAGAGATTGTAGATGCTGCGCAACATGTCAGCCAGATCTGGCAAGAGCCTCCAGAAACAAAAGAGGTGATATCTCATGTGCATGAAAATGAAGTGGATGAGAATAGACTTCCTAGTTGTTTGGAGAATGTAAGGAAAGATGACCTAGAGATTGTTCTTCTGGGGACTGGTTCAGCCCGTCCTTGTGAATACCGGAATGTTAGTTCTATCTATATTAATCTTTTTTCCAAAGGAAGCTTGCTCTTAGATTGTGGGGAAGGAACCCTGGGACAACTGAAAAGAAGGTAGCAACTATCCGCCACAAGGTTTCCATCCTTTTCCTACTATTTTATTCTTTTAAAGTGACAAAGCTTATTGTTGTGGCTTGTCTGCCTGAGTACAGATACGGTATAGAGGGTGCTGACAGTGCTGTGAGGAATCTAAGGTGCATTTGGATTTCTCATATTCATGCTGATCACCAGGCTGGTTTGGCAAGAATACTTGCTCTACGACATGACTTGTTGAAAGGTGTGTCTCATGAACCATTGCTAGTTGTAGGCCCAGCACAACTTAAGGAATTTCTGGATGCATATCAAAGACTTGAAGATTTAGATATGCAGTTCATTAACTGTAGATACACTACAGAATCTTCATGGATTGATTTTGAGCACAATATTGAATTGCATAAGGATCCTTTGGCTCAGGGAAGTACTAATAATAATGAGGATTTGAACCATAAAAATGCGCTCCATTCTGAGTTGAATCTGTCTGATAACTCTACCGCTTTTCCATCGCTAGAGAGCCTAAAGAAAGTGCTTCACGAAGCAGGGTTGGAGACCTTGATTAGTATTCCTGTTGTGCACTGTCAAGAGGCATTTGGTATTGTTTTGAAGGCATCTGAAAGAATTAATGGTGCCGGAAAAGTGATACCCGGGTGGAAGATTGTATATTCAGGTGATACCAGGCCCTGCGCGACGCTAGCAGAAGCATCCTGTGGAGCGACAGTCCTTATACACGAGGCAAGTTATAAATCCAATTTCAAGCTTTCAATTGGTGATGCAATATTTGCTACATTGAAATGTTTCAACATCGTTGTTATACAATCGATGAACTTTTAAACTCGATATAGATTCAGGGTCCTAGCTATGACTATTCAGCTTCTGAGTGAGGTTACTTTCTGGTGATTGTGCTGTGGTTATCATGTTGCAGGCAACCTATGAGGATGGCCAGGTGGAGGATGCTGTAGCTAAAAAACACAGCACAACAAAGGAAGCCATTGAAGTCGGGTCAGGTGCTTATCGGATTGTTCTCACACACTTACGCCAAAGACATCCAAAGATTCCTGCAGTTGATGATGCAGCTATGCATAAAACATGCATAGCCTTTGATTTGATGAGTATCAATCTAGCAGATTTGCCTGTGCTCCCTAAAGTTCTTCCATACCTTAAATTGCTTTGTAAAGATGAGTCAGATGGTGTTTCTTAAATTGCTTTGTAAAGATGAGTCAGATGATGTTATTGATGCTATAACTGCATCTTCTATCCTGTAAAGTGGTCAGGTAAAAACTCTAATGGCCACCCTTTTTAGCAACTGATAAAGGATTCAAACTCAAGATCTTTTAAGAAATACATTAAAAAATCTTTATTAAACCACTCGACCACCCGAGGTTGGTTGTATAAAGTTTTCTCTCTTTTACTCGACTCTGGTTTATAAATAAATAAAAGTTATAAGATGTCTGTTTTGCGTAATCTGTAAATTGTTTTTATTTTTAAAAGAGACGATATAATACCTGATTGACGGAGGTTAAATGTTGTAACAACACATCCAATAACATCGCTGACACTGTTAATAAAGAGTAATACTATACCTACAACTTCTTCTAAAAAAACTTTATTTAACAATCCTAATATAGTAATTCACAATTAATCAGCCACAATATATCAGGTATAACCTATTACAAACTGACCAATTATGAGCTGTCAGGTCAAGATTATAAAAGAAAATTTATGAGAAGAGATTGTAGGTATTGCACTACTCTTACATAATTATGCAAACAATCTACCCAAAGGTTATATTCTATAGTGCCCGCGAGAGGATGGCATTACGCTGCAACAAACCAAAAAAGTTGGATTGATTATAGTGACTGCTTAATTTCTTCCCTTCAAAGTAGTTCTATGATTCCCTTTTACCGTACTTGTTTAAAAGACCCTTTCAAAGTCATTTGATATATAGGTGTAATCCCACCTCCCACCACTAAGTAAGAATAGGAGCACTCATGCTTGCCAAACCAAGCAAGGGGGCTCTAGAGTCAAAAGCCAATCAAACCCCATTACAGAAAAATGAGTTCAACAAATGCCACCCACTTTTGAAGCTTTAGAATTTCCATGAAAATGGCAAACCAGCCAAAGACTGTAAACATTCCAAAAGCTTTGTGGTTGTGAAAGATGAATGACAATGCATTATTAGTCAGTTTACAATAACAAGACACATTTCATCAGGATACAAAATGTTAAGACAAAGTAAACAACAGTATATCGATTTTTATTGACTATTCTGTCCTGTCCCAGATTCATTTATCACAAGATTAGCATTACTTCTGTTTATGTGGGAAACAAACCAAAAAAGAAGGAAAAAAAAAAAAAAAGGAAAAGAGGGGAGAAAACACTCTACAGATTCATTACATTGGAATGGCATGAAATCAGTGTACAAATTCAAAAACAAACTATAAAAGAGCTCACTGCACATAAATGTCTCATTCTTCTTCCAACTCAAATACAAACAATAAAATAAGCTAATTCTACTCTGTGCTCTTTCAGCCATACCTCCCTCCATTATTGCAAAAAAATGTAGAACCATCTTTGGTGTATGATAAACAACTTGCTTTTGATCTACTTGCCTCATATAAATAAGCCTTTTCAGTGACAATTTGGCCCAAAATTTAAGAAATAGATCACGAACTGAAGCAAGATGGTCCTACATGATAGACACGATGCACAACATTATCATGGATTATCATATCACTTCCGAAAACAACTTAAAGAGGTCAATTAAGCAAGATTCATTTTCTCCAGAAAATGCATCAAAAAGAAAATATGCAATGAGAAAACAGTAAATTTCAATTACAGAGTGATTGTTGTAAACTTGCTACACATATCAAATTTACAAAATAAACCTGATAAATAATATTAGGCAATGACAGATAAAAGATGTCCATTTCGCTTTACAACTCTGTGCCTATAAGATGTTTATATAAAATCATTAAAACTCTGGGCTACTAAGATGTTTATATATGATGAAGTTGGTGATAACCTGCTGGAAATGGAACAAAATTTGGCTGAAGGTTCAAACAATATTTTGGCAGCAACAATTCTGTTTTGGTTGGGTTGCTGTAGTTGTTGCAGCAGACATTTGGCACAGTCAAGTTGTTTTTGGTTTGACATGTTTAGTTGAGACTAAGACATGTTTTGGTATATGTATTTGTTTAAATTCAAATGTACTATTTTTTAATCCACTGCAGTAGGCTGCTTTAGGTAAAACAGTGGAGTTGCTTTGTATATATGTTTGTTGTTCAGTGAATGTAATACATAGAAAACTTTCAGCTTTTGCCGTCCCTTTCTTTTACAAAACACTCTCTCTTTACTCTCATCATCTCTCCAACTGAACCAACAATTGGTATCAGAGCTCTACTGATCTTAAGGGCCTAATAAACTCAACTCTTCTCACTCATTTTCTCAGCCTCTGTTATGGAAAAACCTCCTGTCAAACTCCACATAGTCTGATTCAATGGCACAGCACACAACCTCCCTTACTTTTCCAACCTTCAACGGTGATCAATACCACATATGGGCTATCAAAATGTAGAACCATCTTTGGTGTATGATAAACAACTTGCTTTTGATCTACTTGCCTCAGTGACAATTTGGCCCAAAATTTAAGAAACTGTCTTTGGATCACAAACTGAAGCAAGATGGTCCCACATGATAGACACGATGCACAACATTATCATGGATTATCATATCACTTCCGAAAACAACTTAAAGAGGTCAATTAATCAAGATTCATTTTCTCCAGAAAATGCACGAAAAAGAAAATATGCAATGAGAAAACAGTAAATTTCAAATACAGAGTGATTGTTTTAAACTTGCAACACATATCAAATTTACAAAATAAACCCGACAAATAATATTAGGCAATGACGGATAAGATGTCAAATTTCGCTTTACAACTCTGTGCCTATAAGAAGTTTATATGATCATTAAAACTCTGGGCCACTAAGATGTTTATATAAATTCATTCCAATTTCAAAAATGTACTAAAGCACCTTTATATTACTATAACTTAAGAGTTATTTAAGTAATAACTCTCAAACTATACAACTGTAAACTTAACACCTTGAAACAAGATATAAAAAAAAACTAAAAAATAAAGATCAACGGCCAGAATAAACTTACAGAGATAAAATCGAATGCTCTGGTTTCCTCTTTCTTCGAATGATCATTGGACTAGGAGTTGGAGCTGCAAAATTCGGTTGGAATATATCCGGAAGCGGTGAAGGATAGCCTCCGTTAGTTCCCATCACATTACTGCCACTAGCATTTGAGCGTTCAGGTTACCAAGCTGTTGAAAGTTAGACGTTGTAGCAAGGAACTCTTGCTGAGCAAATAAACTCCCCATGGCACCATAATTATTTGGCTGAGAAGCAATAGCTGGATTGAAACATCATGCCAGGAGGAATGTTATATGGCATAGCACACAGGGAAACGCTGATTTGCACTCATCCCGCTGTTTGGGCACCAAGTAGGTTGCTATATGCATTGCCAGAGGTCGATTGCTAGATTTGTGTGCTCGATCTGAGAAGATGTTCAGATGGTGCCAAGATGAAGCTCCTTTCTGATCCGAATTTGACAGTTTCCTTAATGGACAAGCCCGCCATTAAGTCATTAACATCATTTTTCTGATTTTCTTGCTTGACAGAACTTCAGAGTTTGAGCCAAGATATACAATAGTTCAGGCCCTCTTATCGGCTATGCCAAGATTTTCATTAACACCTGGCTTATCATCAACAGTCATCCCAGAAAAGAGATCCTCTGCATTCTCTCGACCCTCATTGGTGTGAAACGAGACATCTGCAAACGGGTCATCATCATTATTCGTTCACTGGTGCTCGCACCAGCAATGAACCGTCTACAAAGAGATCATCAATTAGAGGGGCTGGAGATGTCAGATTTGCAATGCCTTGATCACTGGGATTCTTTGTAGAATTATCTGTTCCATTGTAATCATCTGAATAAACCTGTGTCTATAGTAAGGCATCTGAACAGCAGCAGGGGTCTCAGCCTTCACTGACATATCTGAACCACCCACCAAACCTCCTGCTGGCTCTCCACACAAGGAAGGCTACAACACCTGTTACATGCACAAATTGCGACAATTAAATGGAATACAGACAACTAACTTGTGTGACAATCAACATGCAGCATAATAAACAACAGATATCTGACGATTAGTACAAAAGGAAAATCAAAGTAGCCTGTGAGAGAGATGTTCAGATAAGCAACACCAATACTCATAGAGATGAGCACCCTTGGTTAGATGTCTGTGATATGTGTTGTGAATTGCTTAACTCATGGGAAAATTTGATCCAAAAAAGGCTGTGCTCGGCTCGAAACCTGGGCCAAAATTTGAACTGCAATGGGAAGTCTGTGAAGTTGGATAGCTCAGACTCATGGTGGGTTTCGAAGCTAATAATGAGGGGGAAACTATGTTGCTCTAATTTACTTTTGGTGTAACTGAAATTAGTTGCTAATATATTTATTGTTTATTTTCAGTTCATCCAAGTGAGTAATGGGCCCATCTGTTCCTGGTCCCATTGTACTCCTCGTTGATTGCCAACAGAACCGTCTGTGGAATCTCTCAGTAGTTACTCTGCAGATTGCTCACAAGAATGTGCCAAGACTGTGAATTTTATCATTCATTTAACTCCTACTTCTGTCACAGCACTCCAAACCTGAAATGGATGAAGAGATTTGGTTCAGCTTAACTATTATTGACCTGTGTATTCATGATGTTTGTAGGAAGAATGTGGAGATTCCAATTCTGAAATCCAGTGCAAGAATAGCCTCACGACTTAATTACCTGTGCCCACAATATTTCAGCTTAGGTTTTTGGTCTCTTCAGCACCTTAATAATTCCACAACAAAATCTAGTGCTAGCAGGTTTGTTCTAATGCCATAAGACGATATTTGGATTGTAGAAGTTGATATTTCCCATTTGAAATATTTGGGGGAACTGAGTTTTTGATTTTGCTTCATTTTACTAGGGTCCTGATTCAATGTCATTCTGCAAACAAGAAATTTTCTTTGGTTTGTCTAGAAATTCTTGATAGAGGGGTAATCCCTCTTAACACTATGCTTCCATGCTTTCTTTTCTAATGTAGTGGTTGTTTATTTAGATGAAACTTTTTTTGTATTTTTCTGAAGAAGTAATTTCACCAATTCCTTGAATCAATCAAAAGAAGAAATCAGCGTTTTCTTGACATTTAATTTAAGTGTAATCAATAGTGTGCATCATGTCCGTTTGATGAGAGGCGTTATTATTTGTTATCTCGTAAATTCTGTGTTGAAGCTACATCACTGCATTCTTTGCAATCTACATTTAATTTCTGACTCAGCGATATATTATAGAGATAGTATCAAGGTTTTCTGCCCTTTCTTAAGA